CCCCCCCCCCCCTGCAGATTAGATTGATCATAGTTCAATCTAGTTAGACCTCCCAGGAGAAGGGGATTTTCCTGCCTATTTTTGGATAGGCATCTTCCCAGAGATTTGAAGACCATACATAGCATACAACTAAGCTTAGTCAAGTAGCAGTTGTTCAGATTTGATTTAATCAGGGAATTTCTGGGATACCTTGAATGGGATTTTATCTAGATAATTACTTTGGTCATTTTGAATAATTTATGTAGTCATCCAGACATCCAATTCTGACAACTTTTTAAAAAATCTTAGCAGTTTTTTAGATGGGGCTTTTATTAGGAGGCGGTGAGAGGTGAGGGAGGAAGAGTGTCATTCTACTATTCCCTGCCCCTATTCCCCTATCCATACGCATACAATAAGAATGTCATAATTTTATATCTATGCCTTACTTTCTTTTAGTCCTGGGGAGGCATCATGTTGAGTCTTCGCTGTAACCCATGTCCAGATACATCCCATCTTAAGGAGTTCCATTTTTATTTTTCTTTAATTATAATTGGTTGCTGATAAATGAAATAGAATACAATTACAATTGCAGAGAATCCAGCTATACAGAATAAAATAATTTTTGTCCTTTAAAAATGATAGTTGTATGGTTATGGGAAGAGTACTTACTCTCTGTATTTGCTACAGTTCATTTCTATTACTAAGTAGTTTGTTTAAATTAATCTTCTGGTAGAGTATTTCCTTTCAAGGTCCAGTTCTTTGGTTCTTGTAGTCTTATCAAAATGTCCAATATCTTCTCTGACGCTTTCTTGTATATCAGGTATAATTCTTACTGCTTCTGTATGTCACTATAGTTTGCTCTCATGTATGTATTTCCCTTATTGTATGATGCCAAAGTAAGCTCATTATATATGTTTTGAATGAAATTGGAGCAGATGAGGATTGTGTGTCATTAATAAATGGGTATGGATTTGCATTTTGACCTTCTGGGTTAAAATACGAATAGGTGTGGTTTAGAGGTCTGAACCATTTGCCTGGATACTTAAACTAATTTAGCATCAAGTTTAATTAAGTTTTAATTCTTTATTCAAAAGATTTGGGCAACCCATTTAGGAGTGATAGCTTCCCAAGTAGTACTTCGTGTTTTTAATAACTATGAACGGTTATGAGAACTATCATTTTATCTATGTCATGCTTCTGCATATCTTTGCTATTTGTGAAGACAAAATTGTTGTGGTGTTATTTCAGATAATAATAACTGACTTTCTGTAATCAATGCTTAAGGCAATCTGGATGACACTGAAGAATTAGAGGAAAATAGGACTGCTTTGTCTGAGCACCATAGAATTGTGCTGTTTTGAACCCATCCTCCAGCCCAGCAGTAATCAGTCTAGGTTTCTTAGGTCTTAAGTGAAAAGCATAGTTTCAAACTTTGCTCACCTAAACTTAGTGTATAAAATAATCCTTTTTTTTTCCCCTTATTTGCAGAAATGGAATCTATTTGGAATTTGCAGAAGCAAGGTAAGAATGGTTAGATTCCTTAAAATGTTAATGCTAATCAGTAATCTCTGTACATTATTTTTGGGTGGGAATAACAGATGAACAGTGGCCTACCAAATAAATGGACTTTATATTTTGAGTTATTTAATAACTGCACTCAAAAAGCACTACCTGCCATTCCAGGACTGCTAAGGATGGAGTAACAATGTAAGTGAAAAGAATATATGAAAGTACTCTACCTGCTGAATGAGGAGCAGGAATAGGTACCCTCTTATGAAAGTAAGACAGACCATAAATATTTTCAGTCTAGGAAATCAACACAAATAAATGTTTTCATTTTGTCTAGTCTTTATCTGTATTTGTGTGGTAGACAAGGAATAGGTAAAGAACTGAAATTCTTAGTTCAGAAAAGTGTTAGCTGTTATAGAAACCTTATCAGGGCAGCATATTCTCTGAAAAGATGATTAGAAATCCAAAGAATAGCAGATTAGCTTTTATCACCCTCCCATAACCAAGATATGAATAGCAGGATGGCAGAGGGCTTGGATAATCCAAATCTGGATTATTTGGAATTTTCAAAAAAATTAAAATTGTTTATCCTAATTATTGTGTGCCTCTTTCCAAATATATTAAAATATGATAGTTGTGGAATACATGAAATAAAGTGAGAATTTTGGTTTAGAACTAGTTACTGACTAATAGATTTTTGGTGTTCAGAACCCTGTAACTGAATTGTATCTTACTCCGCATCTACTTTGCCAGTTAACATAAGCGAATTTCAGATGAATGTGAAAATCCTAGAATTCTAGGACTTGAAGGACATTAGAAATTCTTTTCTGTCTTATTTTACATATTAGGAGACCGAGGCCCAGCAAAGTTACTGTATAAACTAGAGTGTAGCAGAACTGGAATGTAGGTTCCCCACATCAGGTCTTTTTTTGTGTGTAACACAGCTGTGGCTTGAAGATAACTAGCAAGCTCTTAAATTATTTTGAGTTGCTTTCTGTGTACCTTCTTAAACACAAATGAAAAGAAGGTAGACTAGAAAATACACCCTACAAAAATAGACCTACCCAGTTTTACTGTAAAATGGCCATTAACTATTAGGAGTGAGCATTATCTTCATGGCAGGTTGCCAGTGGGTGGAGTTTGGAGTCCCAGAAAGGATATTATAATATTATCTCTGTACTAAACTAGACTGATTCATAGGTTGAGGTGTGCCTGAAATTTTTTTTTTTTTTTTTTTTTTTTAAAGATGACCGGTAAGGGGATCTCAACCCTTGGCTTGGTGTTGTCAGCACCACGCTCAGCCAGTGAGCAAACCGGCCATCCCTATATAGGATCCGAACCCGTGACCTTGGTGTTATCAGCACCGCACTCTCCCGAGTGAGCCACCGGGCCGGCCCGTGCCTGAATTTTTTAATATTATTTTCAGGCCCTTATAATTTTCCATTAGGTGACAAATTTTACCAGTGTGCTTATTTTTTTAGTAAAACATATATACTTTGATAGGTAGAAATAGTATGCAGTAAACATTAGCTTACCAGAAGAGGGGAGCATATGGCTAAATAATAGGAATTTAGAATAACACGTTAGAATAACCCAGGAGTCTTTTGCCCAGGCACATTCTGATATTTTAATATTATGAATCTGGGAGGTCTGTAGGCTTTTGCTGCTGCAAATAAAGGTTGGTGGTACTGTGGGTAATGAGGAAGAAGGAATTAAGGAATTATGTCATTAATTAATTAGGAATTAAGTCATGATTAGGATTGAATTGGTAGTTCTGCCAAACTAATTTAAACATGGAGTTTTTGATGCTAGGTTTTACCTGAACAGTTCCTTGCTAGACATTCTACACTGGTTAAGATAAATTTTTTTTTTTTTTTAAAGATGACCGGTAAGGGGATCTCAACCCTTGGCTTGGTGTTGTCAGCACCACGCTCAGCCAGTGAGCAAACCGGCCATCCCTATATAGGATCCGAACCCGTGACCTTGGTGTTATCAGCACCGCACTCTACCGAGTGAGCCACGGGCCGGCCTTGGTTAAGATAAATTTTGATTTCATTTGCTGAGAACAATAAATCCAAGTGTTTCTTTTGATGTTGAATTATTGGTGACTTAGTTTTTTTCTTTGCTTTTTAAAAATAACACTACTTTTGTAGTCAGAAGAAACACATAAAGAAATGCCTTTTTAACTGAATTCAACCATCTCTAATCTGTAGTTGAAGTACCCACTAGCTAGAGGACCATGTGTTACTGGGAATCCATCGGAATGCCAAGCAACTACTTTTGGGTTGAGAAACTAGGTGATACATGAATGGAGGAAATGGACTTTAAATGATGGTTATTTGGGATTTGTTTTTGGAACATGGGCATTTTGGGATTCCAGACCTTATTTTTATTTTTTTAACGTTCATTCCAGATCCCAAAAGGATAATCACTTACAATGAAGCCATGGATAGTCCAGATCAATGAAGGACCAGACTGCCTATTCGTAACCTTTCTGCAGCATTAGAGCCACCGTTCATGGGGGACACAAGGCTTTTATGCTCCTAGATCTTCAACGCAGCAGAGGAACCATAAGTAGAATCACAGGATAATATATACAAATATATATATATACATACATATATATATATAGTTATTTAAAAAAAGGCAACTGAAAGTAATTAGACTTCTTAAGGAATCAAATTTATTTCAAGAGACTACACACATGGTTATTTAATCTCCGGTACTGAATAGTTTTTTTTTTTTCTTCTTCTTCTTTTGTTAGTTTTTGTTTTTTAAGTGTGAATGCAAGTGATTAATGAATACAGACTTAACAAGCGTGGTTCTAAAGTTCCTGCTGTCATCAACTTGGGCAACAAACGACCCACTGGAAAGGCAAATCCACTTAAAAGATCTCTGTATCTTGTTCTGTGACTAAAGTGATACACTAATCACGGGGAACCCAGAATGATTCAACATTTTCCCCCACTCCCTTGATCTTTTGGTTTTACTTTAAGCCCTGCAAGAATGCTGGATAAATGCCTTGAAGTTTGCAGGGCTGTATTTTTTTTTTTTAACGAATATGATTTGCATGTCTTGCCAGGAGTTAAGCAGCCTCTGTGGGGAGTTGGGAAAATATTTTCTTTCTTTCATTTTATTTTTTATGGGGTGGGGATAGGGGAGGGCATTGAAGTTCTACAATTCTGGAATAGTTGGTGGTACATAGTTAACTTGGCTTCAGTTACGTATTGGACTCTTAACAACTGAAGAATCCATGAGTGTCATTTAAAGAAAACTTGCAGAACAGGCAATTGGCTTAGATATTTAATATGGAAAAATATTCCTGTGCCCATATTTTAATGTAATTGTATAACTGGGAGCAAAAGTATATTCTGCTTTTCAACTGTAGGTGCTCCAGACTTGCTCTCTGTCACTAACACTAAGTGTGCTGTTATTGTTTTTCATCAAACATCTAAGAGAAACTTCTGTACCTTTCTGTACATTCTTTTAATTTCTCAGCAAAATCTAAAAGGGGAAGAGAAAAGCCCATAAGAACTAAAACTTTTCAAGTTTTTAGCTAGTGAGGAGTTAATAAAACCTGCCTATAGAAGGTGTGTTTTCATGCAAACTATACTTCTGAGCTTATTAGCTTCTAATTATATCTTAATATAAATATATTTTGTTACTAGAGCAAAAAGGGTTTTTAAGAAAAATAATGTGACATTCTGGAAATTTTCTTTTGGGCAGAGAAGAGCATTACCCTGTCTTACCATCACATTGCTATCCTTTTGCACTGCAGCTTGTGTATAGCATGCTAAAAGAAATTTTTGTGTGTGTGCAGAAACTAAGGGTCCAATGTAAGATTGGGTGATGTTAGTGGCTTAATAACAAGTTCTCTGACCTGATGTAGTGTCACACCACATACAGAGAAATTAGTATATCCATGTATGTCAAATACAGGTTAAAATAGCAGGGCATTTTTATAAAGAGTTGTCTTCTAATAAAAGTAGACTGTATCCCCTGGGCTATTTGGGGAGATAGTAACTACTTTTGCTCTACCCCTTTGCTTAAGAAGTGTTCAGTTTTGAGCGACTGTAGTATGGATGGGTTTTCTTGTTCTGTTGGTTTAAGACTTTTAACAAGTAGTTCATGAAAGAAGCTGTTGGACTCAACATAGTTTAGAGAAAATATCTTTTTAGTCTGGATTTCTGCCCTGCTTAGATTTTAAAAGTATGAGCATGGATTGCCAATTCCACTTGTTGTAAACAAAACTTTTTATACATAATATATATATAATAACTTATTGTATCAGTCCAGGTTCAGAAACTTGTGGTAGGCCAGTTCCAGATAGTTTCATTTCACCTGTAAACTGTATCACTTTTACTGATATTGTAATTTTCAAATGTATAATATGTTTACAGATGTGCCCTGCATTTAGTCTGCCTTGTTCCTATTTTAATTTTTGTTGAGTCTCCTGCCTGCTTGCCAAAAGCTAGGATGCTTCAGGCCCGTGTACAATTGAAAGCAGAGGCATCCTTGAGCTTTAAAGCATTGAACAAACTGGAAAATGCAACATACCACATACTGAAGTGAAAAGAAGTCTGTGTCTTTGTGTTTTTTTTTTTTTAATAAAATTTTTCAAAAAGTTTAAAAAAAAGATAAAAGGTTGATTAAAGAAAAGAAAAAAAAAGGCTCCAGTTTGTTTTACAGGTTTTAAAGTTCTGCTGTGTGTTCAATTGCCTTGTGTAACCACTTGTCGCCTTAGGGCCAGATCCCCCCCCCCCCCCTTTTTTTTTTAATGTCCATTTTGCTTGCCTGGAATTTTAAAGTTCTTCTGTCTCACAACTCACAAGAAACTTTCTGGGTTTGTGACGTAGAGAGGTTGAATGAATATATATTAAAAACAAAAAAAACCCCACCCAGTCCCCATTTGAATTAGGCTTTTTAACTTAGAAGCAACACTTAATTAAACCTTTAGAAAGCTATTGCTTTCCTAATTCCCTTCCATATCCCTCAGGCCTCCATGTTCAGAGAAGCCAAAAAGAGAATGTAACCCTTCTGTTTGTCCAAAGGTTTTGAGAATCTCACTTCTAAATGAAACAATGCAACATTTCAGTTTGATTTCTCCACTGAAATTTCCTTGATTATATGGTTAGAGGTATATAGTTAGGAATGTCTCTTAACTTTCTGAGAACCCTAGTGCCCCATCATATTAACTGTCAGTATTTTGGGGGCATTGGGTTAATGGACTTAATCGCCTAGATACAAGCAGGACTTTGGGACAAACCTTTGTGCTGTTTGGAAACACTTAACTTTCTACTTGTTGCAATCTTTCTCCTTAGGTCCTCACACAATTCTTTACAGAGCACTTATTAAAAAAAAAAAAATCTTAAGAGTTGATCTGTTTTCTGATTATTTTTGTGTAAGCTTCTAAACAAATTTCAGCTGTGATTAATTTAGCACATTTAAATAACATTAATGTGTTAATGTTTGATAAAAAGAGTTTTCCTTCAACTCAGAGTATTAGTACTGTAGCATAAACCAAATACAGTCTAGAAGGGATTTTTAACATCCCTCCATTATAAAGACTGAAAAAGGTGTGTGTGTGTGTGTGTGTTGAGTGCTTGTGTGTGAGGGAAAGATGGAGATATTACAAATTAGTAAATGAATGTGTATAAGAAATTATATTAGTATTCAGAGAATGAACTTGTATTTATTTTGTGCCATTTGTTTTCATTACACAGAATAAAGTCAGGTGGTTTAAATCCTTAAAAAGGTAGTATTTGAAAAATGGCACTAAGAATGAAATCATGACCTATTTTTTTAATAGCTATGAAGATACTAATTATGGGTGAAGATTTCTTTTTAAATCTGTCTTGATTGTAGGCTTCTGTGTCACATACCGCTCTCGTGTAGTTGTCTTGAATAATCCCCCTTCCCCGCAAAAAGACAGGGTGTATTTATCTTTCTCTTTATCCACCCCCACTTTGCCAAACCTGAAGTTAATTGCATAGCCTTTCCTCTAACCTCCTTAGTAATGAACCTTCACATAAAGTGTATTTACAACATCTATAGGATCCCTTCCTCCTCTGCTTTCTAGGAGGGGATAGCCAATAACTCAGAATTTGTTAATAACAGTTTTTTCTTTCTTGAAATAAATGGCTGGAGAGTTTCTCTCCATTTTAGAATTTTGCTGTCCTCCTTAATTATCAGCTTACCTAATCATCACTCAAAATCTGCAAAAACTTCATAAAGGAAAAAAAAAAGCTGCATTGATTTTTCAAATAGCAGTTTTTAGGGAAAATACGACAAACTTCAACTATGGGAGTTGTCCACAATGCAAAATGTTTCTTCACAAAACATTACATAGCAGCAGTATTTCATACTTGGTTTTTTGGCTTGTTGGTAACGCACATCAGAGGCATCTAGTGGTTTATCTTTTGTAATTGCTGTAAACACACAAAAAAGCCATTTAGTGTGAAATTGTATGTCACGTACCGACTGGTCTCAGGCAAGGAAATTCAATTTTAAGTTCCCCTAATAAGGAGGGAGTTATTCTTGCAAGGCTTTCTCCAAAGAAATAGGTTAAAGGTCTGATTTCCAAGGATTATGGGGATAGTTATGCCACTGTGCCATTCCCTCAAATAACACATGATCCTTCTTGTATACATATGCTAACTATAGATATATGAGGATACTTCATAAAGTTCATGGAAAAATAGAATTAAAAGATAATAAAACTCTTCCCATGAACTTTTGGAAGTACCTTTGTATGTATAAAGGACAATAGTTTTTATGAACAGGTCTGTTGATCCTGTACCGGACAAGATAGATTCTGATAGGGCAGTGTCTTAATAGTCCCACCCTTAATTTAACTATTGGATTTTAAAGGAAAGAGTAGGATTTGCTCATCTACCCCCCCCCCCCCCCCACCAAGTACTGATATTTGTTTAAAAGCAGGGAGAGGGGGGATCAGAGGACAAGACTAGAAGCATAAACAGCTACTCTAAGTTGCCAGAGACACGTGGGTTAACATTAGTTCTTAATATTGATGTTATTTTTATTAATGTAATTAGTTGACAGGGCACCAGGATTCTCTTGAGAGATGGGCTTCTACTTTGGGTATCTTGAAATGTTTCTTCTGATATGTGAGAACCAGGATTACACTGGGTTGGTTTAAAGATTGGTGAGTCATTGGCTCCATTCCACAAGCACTGCTTTATTGAGTTTTAAATTAAATTTCACACTGTTTTGCTGCTCAAGAAAGATCTTAAAGTAGTTAAAGTAAGGGATGCCAGCAATAGTATGAATAGAGTTTTAAGTTGCCTGCGTAATAAAAACACCCAGTGAAGCACTAATAATATATTGCTTTTGCAGTACTGGAATGTCAAATAGCATTTATGGGCTAGAAACTATGGAACAGCCATCTTCCATGTAATGGAATTACTGATTGAAACTTCCCTATTCATAAAATTTTGTTACGTCCAGAGTTTTAAAGCCATTTTATGATACTGCAGTATCCCTTTTCTATGGCCTTTTAAAAATAGCTACAAACATTTAATTTCCAGTTCAATTTCACTTTCACTGTATATCACAGTTGTACTCTGCAGACCAACAAACCAACTTGAGGTAAATTATATAGCTTTCCATATACCCTTTGTTTCTCAGGTGCTAAACAAAGGCTCCAAAAATGGATACTGCTTTATAGTAACGTCTGCTTTATTCTTAAAATACATCTTTTGCTAGATGTAAAGATTTGGTGTTAAGAAAAGTAGTTTTAATATGTAAATATGAATGAATGCCTTCAGTTTGCCTGTTTATTAATCTGTTTTCATTTATTCTTTATAGAGGAGGATCCTTTCATGATCTTTCTTGAATACATTTCATTAGGTATTGTTGCATTTTTAGAATGAAAATACAACTGTTTTCTGTCTTAGATTAATCCTGCTGCTGCTATGAGAAAATCAAGAATGTGATGCACTTTTTACATTACTATATACTATACATATACCATAGGTTGCTTTGATACCTTTCCTGTAGCACAGCCACTAACAAAAGTGAATGAATTTTAAAATTCTCGGTGAGGAATCTGTACAAGTAACTAATCCATAGTTGGTATTGGCCTATGAAGGACAATAACTTAGGAAAATAAAAATTCTGTTAATATTACACTTTTTGGCCTTAAAATGTCTTCTACTACTGAAAACTTTTTAAATCTTAGCTTTGTTTCTATTCTCTCTGCCCCCAAAAGGAATTGGGAAGAATGGCTTAAAGGAAGTAGTGTCATTGGTTTGTTGCTGATCTTTTAGAAAGAAAACAATTTTCTACTATATAAGCTGGGGACTTATTTTTTGTTTGTATACAAAGGAGAAATAATGCTGCCCTGAACCGATCATATCTAGTTTAATCAAATTAAAACTCCAACTATTCTGCCTCTCTAGTAATTTTTTTTTCTTAGCAAAGGTAAACTTAAATATAGTAGGAATGCTGCTTGACAAGAGGAAAAGTCATTTCTGAAGCACATACCCAAACTTGAAGGAGATTGAACCCAAAATAATGGGAGGAAAACACCAAATGAGGTGGAGGAGGATGAGAAAGTATGTGGTCCAAAGGTATCTGGTTATATTTTAATGTTGCCAATATTTGCAAAGCCAAAATTTTAATTTGCTTAATATATTTGTTGGCCAGAGATCTATTTTTATATCAATGTGCCTTGCATGTATATTAAAAAAAATAATTGGAAAGGCCATGTAGTAATGCCTGAGATAGTTGATGGTTCTTACCACCTCACTAATTTTTACGCAGTATGAAATGCTCATTCTTTTGCCCAACTGGTGCTCTCTGTTTGAAGTTAGAAATCTTATCAAACTGGAACTATTTTATAAACTGGGGAAGTGATTTACTTTGTTTATTCTTTTGTTTTTAGTCTGTTAGTGGCTGTTCTGTAGTGGGAAATAGTAAAAAGGATTCTTCACTCTCCTTCCCCTTCAGCACCTTCAAGTAATGTGATGACACCATTTCTTATGTGCTTTGAAAAAAACTATCAGCTTGCTGTCTCCTTTAGTGTTATAAAAAAGTGTTATAAAGTATTGTTTGCAAAATCTAGGGAGATAATGGAGTCCACTTTAATTTGGAATTCTGTTTGAGCTATGATCCAAGTTATCAGCTCTTTCCAACTTTAAAATTTTTTGTTTGCACCTTGCTTAGAACATTTTAAATATTTATGTCTGCAACAATTGTCTCAGAATAATAAACTGTGCAATTCTTGTCATTAAAAAAAAAAAAATCTGAACTCTCCCTAATGTGACTTTTTAGTTTCTCTGTATTTCCTGCCAGTGTAAATGTGAAAAGCTTTGCTTGCATTACGTTTTAGAAATGCATTTTGCACACTCGAATTTTGCTGAAGCTCCGTCAAAAGGTTAGATCTAAGTAGATGAATAAAGCTATGCACATGTTTTGAAAGTTTAATTTGTGTGTCATTACCAAAAGTGACCTACTTCTTATTACTTTGCTGTCCTTAGCTTTACCATCTTTGGAAACATGGCTCAAATTTGTAGTTCTGGGCTAGCTCATCAGTGGAACTCGAAGAGAGGAAATTTGGCACCTATTTTAAATAAAGTTCAGTTTAAATGAGAGCTTGACTTGTATCTATTAAAGGACTTTTCTTGAAATGGGAGTTTTACCAGCTTAACAAACCATTGGATGCTCTTCCTCAGTGAAATTTTGGTTTATTTGATCAGATAGAAATGGGAAGTAACTCAAACTGAAAGGAAGGCAGGACCTTTGCCACACAGAACTCTGAATTTTATGTCTTAAAGCTGGTTTAAAGGCATTTACCTTTATTGCTTTAGCATAACTTTGGTTTACCGAATGATTGGTTTGAGATTAGAATCATTCAATTTAAAGATCAAAGCACAGGTTATTTTAAAGATATGTGCCTAAGCTGATTAGAACAGGTTTCGAAAGTAGGCACATTTGGTTCAATTGCTGCAGTCTGCATGTCCTAAATAGCTTTACTTCACATGTATGTATAACTTAGTAAGATTGTGTAGATGTTATGGCCAGGTTTTGTCAAATCATTAAAATTTTTTTCTGTAATCTCTTTAGGACCTTTGTAGGAGAGGCTAATAAGTTTAAGTAGAAGATAATACTAATGGTATTTTCCCCATGCTCCTAGATATAAAATAAATATTTCCATTTTATAGCTTTTCCTATGTATAGAAGAGAGTCACTTCTCTGTCATCAAATTTGCTCTTGATGTATGTTCACTTTGAAAACACAGCAAAACCCTTCCTTCTATATCTTCATTGATAGTGGCAGTTAAAAACTAAGTCTGCCAGTCAAGAAAGTGGCCCATAATGCATGGCCTTAAAAGGCAGAAATGCAGAAGTGTAGCAAGCATCATGGCTACTCTTCGGCATCTGTCAGTAGTTCACTTATGTTCAGTCTTAGAACATATTGGAGGAGCCAAGTAATTTCTTTGTCTTGTGTGCATAGGCACGTAGGAGCTGAGTTATAGGGAAAGGATAATTAGTGGAGAAAGTTATGTTAGAGGACGTTTTCCCTTCCCCTCAAAAAAAAAAAAAAAAAAAAAAAGTTTCAGTGTTTGTTTTGCCCAGTCAAAAAGATAGGTCTTTTCTAGATATAAGTGACCAGGAATTTGCACTTTTGCTAAGTGCTTAGGTATTTGCTATAGTTGTCTGATGTCATGGAGTCTGAGGAAGTGTCAGTTACATGATGATCTTCCTTTATTGATGTCTTACTTCATGTTCAGTGTTTATCAATTACACATACTCCACAACCATACCCAGATTTACTTATTTTATCAGGAAAAAAAACTTGAGAGATTTGTAGATCAAATTAAGAGACAATAAGTGTACATTGTTGAATAAAAAATTTTAAAGCTTCTGAGGTGTTTGTGTTATCATCTTTTGTGTGCTTTAATTTTTTAAATATTAAAAATTAAGACTAACAGCTTTTTTTTCAGAGTCAATTGTACAGAATATTTAAGTCTTAAACATACTACGGTCACGTGTCTTTGTTTTAAAAAATCGTACAGGTTATTCCAGTGCTCAGAATTAGCATGTTTGTTGAAAATTCAGGGCTGGCTGGTTAGCTCACTTTGTTAGAGTGTGATGCTGATAATACCAGGGTCCAGAGTTTGGATACCTGTATGGGCCAGCCACCA